AAGTAAAGAAGTGGAGGGCTTTTATCTTTTTATGGCTTTGAATTAAGGCTTAAAACAGTTTCCACAGCATGGGAGCAAAGGTTGAAATTACTTTCCATGGGGTACCATAAGCAGCCTATGTAGTGTTTTTTAATAACATAAGTGCAAAGTCAACTAAGGGAAAGGTAGTAAAGGCTGAATCCTAAAAAAAAAGTAGCTAGTAGGATCATGATGCACATCAGGAGTTTGCAGGATTAATTGCACTGAGAGTTTTTAGAATGAACATAGGGTATAAATTTTCTTCTGTGGATATAAAGTACTCCAAAATTTACTGAGAATGTTTCTACTGTTACTACTGAGTTGTTACCAACACAACTCATATGCCATCGCTTTTATATGTACTTCATAATAGCACCATGATAAGGTGAACTGACTTCATTGAATGGACTTTGTCTTGGACAGATCTGTGCTACTTTTCCATGGCTGGCTGTGTCTGGACATTGCTCAACTTGCACTCACTCTTCTTCTCACAGGTTTATTCCTGAGGCTTGGTCCTCCTGTAGTGTCACCTGTGGAGTGGGCAGCCAGGTGCGGCTTGTGAAATGTCAAGTGCTTCTGTCTTTCTCTCAGTCTGTGGCTGATTTGCCTATTGATGAATGTGAAGGTCCCAAACCCGTGTCTCAGAGAGCCTGTTACAGTGGTCCCTGCAATGGAGAAGCAGCTGAACATACTCCTGAAGAAACGGATCTGCTGTATGGTAGATTGCAGGAATTCGATGAGCTCTATGACTGGGAATATGAGGGCTTCACTGAGTGTTCGGAGTCTTGTGGAGGAGGTAAGTGCAGTGTTTTGGTGCTGGGTGTGCTTTCCCTCTTCAAGTGTGTGTTTTGTTGTGAACACTGATGGACTTGCTGCTTTGCTACATCCGTTTGGAGAGGCTTGTATGAAAACTGTAAAACCCCCCTTGCACAACGTATTTTTTACTCAGGACCTTCAGGCTCCCTTTTCAGATCAATACTTAGAACAGTTGGTGTGCACATCTCTCTGTTTTCTGGTATCATCTGGTCTCACAGAACACGCTTACACAAAAACAGCTGAATGTTACAGTGGTCTCGTGATACAGGCAGGAATCAAATGTCAGTTTTAGTTTTTTATTTCTTGGCTTCTGCTTTGCAAGTATAAATATGTGGAAACAAATGGTACTAACCATTGCAGATACATTTGATTATTGATATTTTAAGGGCTCAGCTGGTTCCCTAACTCTTATCATTAAGTGCCACTAGCTCTGATCCCTCTGCTAAAGAAAACATATGGTAAAAAAGTACTAACAGTTGATTGCCTGAAGCTAGCAGGCTTGGCACTTGGAGCTTCTCAAAGTTAATTAAGGTTGCAGCTTCTACATATTATGAAATACTAATACAAAATTCCCTGATACTCGTTTTTAATAACTGTTTTTTTCTAGTTAGTTCTGAAAAATATACTTTCTCCAGTATTTTTTTTAAATTAAGCCTAGACTTCTACAACTGCTGTCTTTTTACATGAGAAATTTTAGGGTATTTAAAAAAAAATAAAAAAGTTTACTGTAGATAAACACAGAATACATATTATAAAACTGGAAGCCACTTAGTGATTCATGCATGCTTAACAAATAGATCTGTAATCACTTACAAACTTAAAGAAAACAACAAAAAAAAAACGATGAATGGAAAATAATGCAAAGGGTCTCTGAGTTTACTTTTATCTTGCTGAGGGTAGTCAGTGTTTAGAGCAGCTCTCAAAGAACTGTCATCCAATTACCCCAATTGCTTTGATTCATACATAGAAAATAATAGATGTTAACCTTTGCTAAGTGGTGATAAGCACTGACTATACAGTAGCACTTGTCATGAATTGAATATACTAATGAGCACTAATGATTTGCCACATTTGCCTTGTGAATACTGAAACTTGAATAACTTCTAGGAATATTCTCTTGAATTTAAGTCATTTATCTGAACACAGTGATTATGTGCATATTTTTAAAATACATTTCACATAGGCTGAACTAACAGAGATGTTTTCCTTTATAAATTCAATCTTTCAATTCCCAGCAAAAATTGGTAGCTTTTTTTTTTTTCTATCAACTCCAAAATTTCCAGATTAGCAGATGCTAAGTCTGATACGCTTGTAGCTATAGGTGCAAGACAGATCAAACTAATTTTATTGTTTTGGAAGTCTCATGAGAAGAAATTGGATAGATGCAGAATAACATTTCACCTCATAGAGGTAGCAACCAGAAGGAATTAGTCATTTTGTCTGCTGTTAGTGGCTGCATATCCTAGGGCTGTCATCAAATATCATGTAACAATTATTCTATTCTGGTAGATATAAACACAGAAAGATCTCAGTTGATGGTATTTTGAAAGTGAACTTAAACTGCTTAGATTCGCATCCCACCCTTTTGTATTGCAATTTCCCATTCAGAACTGGTTTCTTATTTCAAGGAAAGCAATTTTGAAGAGGACAGCTCTTATTCTAATAATGTTGTGCAGTAAATAGTGCTTAGAATTCATTTACTTAAATGAGAAGCAAAATTTATGAAGTCCACACACTTATTTAATAAAGATAACAGAAGTTCAGACAGATAATAGACAGTCCATGTAGTCTTTAAAAATTCAGTGATCCATTTAAAGCTTGTAGCCAATCACTGCATTGACCAATCAAAAACAGAGGGACAGATGTAAAAATGATTTAGAGCATATTTTTTCCTGCTGGAGCAAGCTAGAATATAATTAAATCATTAGCATGAACTGTTCAAGCCAGGAACCTCTGTCAATACCCAATCTAGACAATACAGCTTATCTAAATTCAGGAGGAGCCTTTTTCTTCAATGCCAAGGCTGTCAGACAAAATTATTGTTTATACTGGAATCTTTAAAACGTAAAAAGTTACAAGAATCTCTGAAAGGTAATTCTGTTTAGCAGAGTAGAATGCTAGTATAAAAGGCCAGAACTGTTGCAAATACAGTCAGAGGTGGTGTATGTGGCAGGAATAACTATGGGTAATGTAAGTTCTGGGCAGGTTGTATACTAAAAGCTGAAAACGGCATTATCAGAGCTTGTCTATGTGAGCTTGGTAATGCAAAATCATCTGGTTTGGATGGAGAAATGGAAGAAAAGCTGAATCAAGACCATCACTTTGGAATAGTCAGCTCTGAAACAGGCAAATGTGCTGAGATAATTTGATCATTATTAGTCAGCAGTTCATTAGTAACACACCTCAGAGAGGAGAAATTGAAGCTGTGGAAATACAATTTAAAAATTCTGATCTGAAAAAAAAGAGAATCTTGTACATAAGGTGTGGTAAGTTAGCCTTATCCCTAGCAGACAGAATGAAGTCACCAGTATGTATAGGATTCAATGGTTTCTTTCCACACGGGTAAGAAAAGTACTTTCCAAGCTTTCACTGTATCTGGACTAGCTATTCTTTTCCTTTGTCGTCTTCAATTTGACCTTGCTGTGAGGCTGCACAAGTGATCAATGCAAAGCAGAGAGCACTGACTTCAAAACAGTGTCATATCCTACTGAGCTGCAATACTTTGGTCCTGTTGAGTAATATGATATAATTGTTTGCATGATGTGTGCTCTGGCATTAGAAATGGCAAAAGGTGTTGACAGCTCTATTATAGCATTCTCAGAGCTCTTGGACTTTCTTCCCATTTTTTTTTTACACCATTTTGTCTTCAAAAGATTCTAAGATATTCTGGAAAACTTACTGTTGATTTTAAAAAAGATGGTGCATTTATGAGTTCAACTGATCTTTTCCTTAATCAGGAAATTGGGGTGAATGTAAAGAGCACATTTCCATCTTGCTTGAACCACTGTGAATTAGGGAAACAACCATCCTCACACCCCCTGGGGAAGAAATAGATCTAGCAGACTTAATCTAACTAAGTAGCCTTTTCTAGAGTGTGCAGTGCTGCAGTGCCTTATTTTCCAGCTTTCTAACCTTGCATTGTAATATGCCCATCTTACTCTCAGGAGCAGTGAGACAGAGTACCTGGTATGTGCAAGTGTGCGTCTTCTGAGTTATAGCCTATTCACCAAATCTTCCAACTCCTCTCTCATTCCCCACAGCTACCTCTCTCCTATCCCAGCTTGCAGTTTTGCATCTCCAGTGTAGTAGCTAGCCTGTGGAGGCAGAAAAGCAGCTGAGACCTGAAATTGCTTTGTTTTACCTTTGCAATTAAAGTAATCTTACAGTTACTTAAAACATAGCATGTTAGTGTCGGGGCCATCTTCACATCCTTGCCTATCATGCTGCACTCCCAATGAACAGAGGAGTCACTGAAGAGCACTGAACATTTCTCTGTCCAGGCAAGATAAAGGGTGAATGAACCTATGGAGTTTTTACTGCTGTCAAGAAAGCCAGTGAGGCTAAGAGCAAATGCAACTAAAAACTCAGCATCCCATGCAGAGTTCTGATTAGGCCATCTGGGAAACAGGATACAAAAGAAAGCAATGTGTGACTGTGTCTGGAAAATTGCAAAAGGAACAACAGAGAGGGAAAAATGAGCAGTGGGGCTCTCTCTCCCTTGGATGTCCTCTCTGTGATGGGAGCTGGCTGTGACTGTGCATTATTGTGTGCAGGTGTCCAGGAGGCTGTGGTGACCTGCCTGAACAAGCAAACCAGGGAGATTGCAGATGAGACTCAGTGTGTAACAAGTCGCCGTCCTCCACAGCTGCTGAAAGCCTGTAGTCTGGATCCCTGCCCTCCAAGGTATGCTTCCTGTATCTTATCACCAGGTGTGTATATTTGGGGGATGTAGGAGAAGTGTGGTTATTGGTGGAGCTGGAAAACTAATCTGTGAAGTCTCCATGAAACTAAAGCACTCAAGAAGGTCCATTTGACTAGAATCTTTGGCTCTGGTCATTAATGAAAAACTGGAACATGCAAGCACAGTGTGTAGATAAGAGCCTGAGGTGCTCTCTTGGCTTCTAGTACTGCAGACTGGGAAATCTGGGCTCAGCAGATCAGTTTAACTCCCTCAGGATTCCTTGTGGTGGGCATGAAGTGAGAACAGCAATTCAGTCCCCAGTGGCCCTGAAGGCTGTGCAATGCTGTTAGCCTAGGTGAGGATATCCAGACTGGAGGCCTTCAGTTCTACTTGGACCTTAGATAGTGGATTTTGAGAATTCCATGGAAATAGCAAAAAAATTACGTAAGTGTGAGGTAACTGTAGTCTGGTATGTTTTCCAGAATTGTTTAAACTGTGCTGTTAAAAAAAAACAGTAATTAAATAAGCTGTGATCCTAAACCAAATGGCCTTTCAGTGAGCCTCACACATGCTCTTTCTTGGATTACAGGGGCTTGCAGCCTCTTCAGGCCTTAGAATTATTGACTGGGAAGTGCAAAGCAGCGGTGAAAACAAAGGGCAAATTTCAGACTGCTTGCATATTCAGGTCCTGCTGCCAGATATTTTACAGATTAGCTTAACTTTACTCAGAGTCAAAAAAAATTTAGGGACACTTCTGCAACTTCCACTTTCACAAGGCTTTCACAACCTGTTCCTCCCAGATCTCAGATTGCTTCCACAATCCTAACCCTAAAAATAGCAATTCTTTGTCTGCGTAGATCCACATCTGTACCTTCTACAACAGAAAATAGCTGTCATGAGGTTCCCCTGGTTTATTTAAGTAGAACGAGGGCTGTCAGATCTTGAAAATATATTGCATACATATTGTCTTTATTCCCAGCTGCACACAGGTGCATTTACTCTCTTGTGGTAGTGTGACAGACTTGAAAGAGACTTATTTATAACTTTGGACTGTTTAAAACAGTCAGTGTTGTCCAGGTGGTATTTTTTTCTTAGACTACATATTGGTGGCTGTATGTATTCTTTGTGTGAAAGCAGGTTATTCCAAGGTGTATCATTATACGGATTAGTAGACTTTGCTACACAAAAGACTGCTGATGTCAAAAATCAAATGTGGCCAGCATCCAAGAATGATAAGAGACAAAAATAATTGTTTAATTGGGTGGTAAGTATTTTGAATACAGTGCAAGTGTGGACAAATAGTCTGACATCATTCAAAAAGCCATTACAAAAGTTACTTAGCAGGATATGGCAACCCTGAGTTGGTTAAATTGTCTGTGTTGCTCGTGCTAAAACATTAGCAAAAAGTATCATTGTAGTTGGAAATCTGTAACTGACAAGGCAGCACTGTCACTTGAATGAGAGTGCATGGTGACAGACTGACCATCCATCAGTTCTGACATGGAAAATAAATATGTACTATTCAAAAAAGAAGAAGAGAAAAAAGATACATTCACATAGGCTAGTACTTAGGTGATTTCTGTTACAAAAGTCTTCTGAGAATTTTGGTGAGTGTTTGCTGAATTAGTCTGCATGTTACTCCATACCATTGTGATAATCATGCTATTGGCATAGAGGTAGTTTAAAATTGCCTTGGATATGTGGTTTACCTCTCCAACTACAAGGTGATTGTGATGAGGATCATGACATGGAGCTATAGTTAAAGCACGATGAGGAATGAAGGGGGCACAGATTAAGAAGCTTTCATCTACCCCTAGGGCTGCAACTGAGAAAAGGAGAAATAGCTCCATTTCTAGTATATACAAATCCTGTCCTACAGACCCCTAAGTCTGGAGGAAATTGCCTGTCTGCAGAGATTTAAGCAGCACAGGCAGAAAATCAGCACGTGATCTCCAAAATGGTTCCTCTGGTAAGAGCAAGAAGACCTACAACTCAAGATTGCAGTGTGACTAATAGCAGGGGAGGCAAGAAGAAAGGTGGATATGTCTCCCGTGTAGCTCCTGGCAAGCCATGACAGCCTGCAATCTTCTGAAGTTCTATATATATACTAATAGCACTGCATTAGATGCCATTGTATATTAATACTCATTAAGCAGATAGCGTTTAGTATATAAAAATTATTGCTTTATAGTTATTAATTAAAATAATCCTAGTGTTTCTAAAGAGACCAAATGAAAAGAAAATGGGTTTTAGGATTTTCTCTGTTTTAATCATAAGAAGGTACTTCAGGATCCTAATCCAGGAAATCTTGATCTAGGAATCAGGCAGAAATTTAGGCTAAAATCTTGTTCTTATGAATGTTGATGAAGGTGCTGCTATTGACTGACAAGTCCAGATCTTGAGATGTAGCTGTGAGCTTAGATCCTTGTTGCAGAAGTTCCCAAAATGTGATCTGTGAACCACTAATACTTCACAGAGCTTTTGCTGATGGCTTATAGAGAGAGCTGGCGGGTCTCATAGTGTTGGCTCTTCCCTCTGTTTTCCAGGTGCTAAACTACACTAACTAAAATATAAGCTAAAAATATAAAAAAAAACCACTTTCCTAAAATGGCCACGATATGTGACTGTTGGGGCATGCAGTTGTTGCATATAGAGGAGGCAGTGTGCAGAAAAGGCAACTGTTACGGTGAGGAATGCCACAGAAGACAAGGCAGAGTTGTCCATACCATGAGAAAAAGCTTGCTCAAGGGAACAAAAATTCCTTCCTAGTTTATTTAGAGAAAGTGGCATTTCTGAATCAGAACATTAAATTCTGTGGCTAGAATTTAATACAGTTCAAGACTTCATTTAGTTTAAAAGTGAGAACATTTAAAAATCAGATCCTCCAAGCTTATAATTGCTTCTGCTGGAAATACTTTTGCTTATATGGGGTATTCTTCATATCCTCTCAAAGATTTAGCTCTGTAAGCCTTTCTTGGTCAACAATTCCTTGTGTTAGTTTAATGTACATAGGCAAAAGCATTGAACAACAGAAACTAATCACACTTTCTGAAGGATAAGAAGGTTCATACCTCAAGACAGATAACATATGAGTAATCAGTGAAGAGTAGTGATAGTAGGTCCATCAATTTGCTAACTGATATATTTGCATTCTAAATTACTCTGAAAAGAACCAGAAAAACTCTGTTGCAATGTTAGTTTTACTGTTTTCAACAATAAATTCACTCGAGTCCAAAGAGTGACTTTTCCTCAGTGTCCACAACCCAAAATTCGGAGGGGGTCATCATCTAACCAGATATAATTGCTCTTGTTTATAACAGTATCAGTATGAGCAGCTCTTGGTGAGCCAAATGGCCTACCAAAGGGGAGAATGAGAATGCTGTAATTGTGTTATTAATTATAACTGCTCAATAACTTGATCAATGCATGTTGAAAGGATTTAGTAAACATGTATGGAGGAGTGAAGAAAAAGCTAAGCAATGAAAGCCAGATGGTTGAAAATGGAGGAAATTCCAGGCAATTTCTAAAGCTTTGTTCTTGCATATTTTCAAAACTGAACTTATATTCCTTTGGAACAAAGAACAGCTGAATGCTAAAGAACTGATAAATAGAAGAAAAAGCAGATGGTTCTAGGAGGAATAGCACAATATTTCACCCCAGCACTCTCCCTCTACTTCTTTAAGTCTTTGTATTTAGCAAGGCAACTCAAAAACATCCGAGTGATCATAGTACCTGACTGAAAGGTCAAAATATCTGAGGCTGGGCTTCAGCTCATTGCACATCTTATTTTTCTTTTCTTTTTTTTCTCCTTGCATCTGCTTGTTTTGTTTTTGTCTAATAAATTGCCAGTTATTATTTGAATGTTTCTTTGAAGGATGCAGTAGTATTTCCCATCTGTTCTGTTCTATTTCTCAGATGAAATCAAACTATAAAGGAGAAAAAAATCAACATGTTTTTCTGTTCATTTGGAGATGGGAGGCGTTAGGTTGCTGGTAGGTCAAACGTGGTGCAAGATATGCTCCCATCCAAAATATGAAATTAATTCAATATGTGTGGAAGGGATGAAGTTTACTTTAATCCATTGGAGGTGACCTCTGTGTGTGGTAAGGTGTCAAATGCATATGTGTTTTGCATCACTTTGCATCAAATATTAGAGCATCTCTGTCTAGATCATGAAAAAGATTAAAAGATTTACAAGTCATTAGGTTAACTGATACTGCAGTATAGCCTTACCGGCAGGAGATACCAATCCTTCTTTTCTTGGAGTCTTTTCTCAGAGGTGTAAGTTAGACTTGGCATTGTGAGACAGTGGTAGCGTTACTGTCTCTCTTCTTGCCACTAAGAGATTTTCAATCTTTCACAGACTCCTGACTTTTTTTTTTTTTTTCCAGTGAGGTGTATTTGAGTCTATTTTGAACTGAAGTGTAGTGAAAATGTATTTTATAGCCTCTTGTAAAGTAGTCCAGAGAACCCCCTGGGGTCTGCAGTCTTCAACTTGAACCATTGACACAGTAGGTTGGAGGATCAGACATAAGTAATGCGCTGCTAAACATGACAGATTCACCTTTATTTGAAGCCTTAAGGTCAAGAAGCATTTTAAATGGAAGTTAGTTAGAAAATCATAATTGCACTGTTAAGTCTTGCTTTGCTAAAGACAGTGCAGTACAAAGACATCTAAACATGCTGCTGTTCTGAGATCTCATTCCGTAATGCTGTGCCTGCAGCACTTGCACACCTACTCTGCATTGCTGTAGTACCTTCCTAAACTTAAAACATATTAATATGACCTAAAAACATTTGTGTTTGCCCTACTTTTATTTATTTATTTATTTATTTATTTATTTATTTATTTATTTATTTATTTTAACTCTTCCTTTTGTACACTCTGTTGTTAAGAGATGGTCCAAGATACTCTTGATGGGCCACCATTCTCTGCACTCTCTGGATGCATTGGCTGTAGTGGAGCAATAGCTGCATGTTCCTCAATGTCTCTCACTCAACA